TACACTGGTAGTGTTATTTGGGGGACCAGGACTGGAACAGCAGTGTGCACTGCACAGCAGAGGGGCTAGAATCCGAGTAGCAGGGGTAGGATTGAGGTGCACTGGCAGAGCTGGGGGGGGGGGCCAGGACTGGAATAGCAGGGGGTGCAGTGGGTGAGGATTGAGCTGCATTGACTGAGTGACATGGGATTGGAGGAAAATTCAGGCGAAGGTGCACGTCCACTCTCAGCAGAGAAGCCGGCCCAGCACCACCCGTCACATGCTCAGTTAGGGTCCTCATAGCAGGAGGGGAAAGGGGGTAAATTCCACTTTTAAAACCCCCAGCAGCAGCACCTCCCCGCCTCTTATTTCCCTTGCACCTCCTGTCTGTGGCCGGGCGCCCCGGGGGCATTTTAGAACATTTCTCCAAATGCCCGAGCAAGCGGCGGTATCTAATCTCAATCTGCTCCCGATTTAGCATGCCGAGTGGCTGGGAGCCAAGACGTTAGAGATTAATTTTATGGAGTAAACAGCGCCACCCGCAAGCCTGCTCAGAGCCAGCCCAGGCTTCTCCTTGGCTGGCTGAGAAGGGGAACAACCCCTGCCCTGCAATGGGGCCATGCTAATCCAGGAAGGCAGCAGCGGGGCTGCGTGAGGCTGCTTGTCCCCTAGGACTGGGAGGCACGTTCTGCTGCTAAGAGGTTTTTTTTCGGGAGGGCCTGTCTCAGAACTGCTTTCCAGCACTTCCCCGGCTGAGGTATTAGCCGGCCAGCTGCCCCCTCGGCCTCCTGTCACCGCATCCTCTCTGACGCGCCTCTCTCACCCTTCATCTCTTTCCTCTGCCCCTCTCCCACGTCTTCCGCCCTCTGCCTCTCGCACTGACCAGTTGGAAGCCAGCATTACTGCTGAACTGGCAAAGACCAGGCCAGGGCATATGCGGGGTGGGCAGGACCAGAAGAAACACAGGGATCAACTGATTCTGGGGGACAACCAATGAAAAACCAGGAGGGGGAGTGACGGTCACGGGTTTAGAATCAAAAATTCTATTTGGAGGCTCTCCAGGCTTCCTGTCCTGTGCTCCAAAGAACCCCGTAGTGGTCGGCACAGAGATGTTTTAAAATCTCCTTCACTCTTCTCCGTTTACACTGCCTGTTTACCAGTCTTGCACTCTGCGTGGCTTGGACAAATTATTAATGTTCATGGTTAGCATTATAGGAACAACTAGAGGCCTCAGCTGAGGTCTGGGCCCCGTGTTGTTGTACACACACACAGGAGAAACAGTCTCTGCCCCCACAGAGCTTCCACTGTAAATAGACACGGCCAAAAGAAAGGAAGGATTAGGATCCCCATTGTACAGGTGGGAACTGAGGCCCAGCAAGGTTAAGTGACTTGCCCAGGGTCACGCATGGAGTCTGTGGCAGAGCAGGACTTGACCACAGCTCTACGGAATCCCAGCCCAGTGGCTGGGCCACTCAGCTATTCACCGTCTGCCTAGAGCTGTATACAGAGTGACTCTGAGAAACTGCGTGCCAGGTCAATTCTGAGGCAGCGCTTCAGCTCAGAGCTGGCCCAGCTGGTTCATGTACTGCCAGTGAGTTCCCCTCAGCTCAAGGCTTCATTAGGTGGTGCAGTTTTCCGTGCAAGGAAAGATGGCTTAATGGTTAAGGCTGTAGCTTGGGACTCAAGGCTTAATTGACAACTCCGCCACAGACTCTCCATGTGACCTTGGGCAAGTCACTTACTCACACCGGGCCTCAGTTCCCAGCCGTCAAACGGAAATAAAATCTCACTTTGTCCTTGAGCTTATCTGTCTGTATCCACCTGCTGTCTCTTGTCTGATACTTTGCTTGTCAGCCGTTTGGAACAGGGAAATGAGGCCCTGATCTCAGCTGTGGCCTTTATGCGCTGCTGGAATAGAACTCGTATTTATCCCATTGCTTCTTCCTTCTCCAGCGTCCCCCTTTGCAATCTCCTTGTGTCTCAGGGCTCTGCGGGGGGGAAGGACGGGCGGCTGCATGGACTGACTGCTGCCTCTGGGACCGGCCCAGGCTTGGTTCCTCTCAGCCAGCCAGCTCTGGTTTGTAGGCAGGGTGTGTACAGCATGGACCGGACTGTACCACAGCAGACGGGAAGTGGGTCTGAGTGGCTCCAGATCCAAAGCTGGCCATAAGGAGCAGGCTTCAAAACTGGGGTTCAGGGTGAGCTCCAGCCACTAGAAGATGATCCAGTGGTTAGGCCACTAGCCTGAGACTTGAAAGACCTGGGTTTAAGTCCCCGCTCTCCCACAAGCTCCCTATATGACCTTACCAAGTCATTTAGCCTCCCTGTGCCTCAGTTTCCCATCTGTAAAATGAACCCTGCGTGCTGAGCAATCCGGCCCCTCATTCTGGTGCCTCTGCGGGAGTTGAGCTCCTCTGAAAATGTGGCCCCCTAACGCTCAGAGGCCTGGAGTTTGTATGGCGATCTCTGCGGAGGCGTCTTCGCTGCAGTGTCAACCCGGGGGATGGACACGCGGGCTGGCCCAGCCCGGGTTTGAGCGACCACATGGCAAAGCTGCACTGGCACTGCACTCACTCATGTGAGGCACCATAGGCGCCGACTCCGTGGGTGCTCCGGGGCTGGAGCACCCATGGGGGAAAATTGCAGCTCCCCGACCCGCCCCAGCTCACCTCCACCTCCGCCTCCTCCCCTGAGCGGGCTGCCGCGTCCTGCTTCTCCCCCCTCCCTCCCAGCGCTTGCGCCGCAAAACAGCTGTTTCATGCAAGCCTGGGAGGGGGGGAGGGGAGGAGGAATGTGGCGCGCTTGGGGAAGAGGCGGGGCCAGGGCGGGGATTTGGGGAGGGATCCAATGGGGCAGGGAGGGGGCAGGGGCGGAGTCAGGGGCGGGGCCAGGGGATCGCGAGCACCCACCAGCGCCAACAAAAGTTGGCGCCTGTGTGAGGCACTAGGACTTGTGGGGTCACGTCCCCTGGCTCTTAGAGCTGCAGCGGGCTGAGCTGCTCCATGATTCTTTCCCAGTGAATCGTGGGAGAACTTGCCTGTCCTTCCGGGCACACATGCCGGGGGAATTGTGGGGAGGGCCCAGAGACGCTCTGTAGATTCAATCTCACAGGGCTTCCCAGCTCTTCTAATATCTAGCAAGGTCTCCCTGACCGTCAAGTGCCTGCCTGGCACCGTGTCTCGCCATTTACCCTGTGCAACGCGGGTGTAAAATGAGCGTGAGCAGGCTGCAGGTTCCAGTCTAGCCGTGGTTTACATGCGAGCGGCAGGGCAGGGCAGGTTCAGACCCCGGGACTTTTCTGCCTCCCCTCCCCTGCCACACGCGTTAAACCGGGCACCATGTCCCTACATCGCCTTGGCCCGCCCTTTGGAAAGAATGCCACATACAGCGCTGCTGTCAAGAGTGCAGGGGAGGGACAGGATCACGGACCTCCGATGTGGGTCGGTTCGGGGTTACAATTGCATGGGGCCGTGACCTGCCTGAGCCTCCGAGTTCTGTTAGGAGCGAATGACATTCCACCGCCGGGCGATGGGTTGCCTGGTAGCTCTTGGAGGGCGCTGAAAGCCCCGCATCCCGAGGGGCTGCTCTGCATTACAAAAGCCTCGATGCCGAAGGGAAACCGAGGCTGCCCATCACGAGCCGCTCCCCATGCCCGTCTGTGGCTGTTATTTATGACTGAGATTGCAGAGGCCCCTAGAGGTGCCGATCAGGGATCGGGGCCCCCTTGTGCCAGGCGTTGCCCTCACACAGAGCACAAAGCCAGCCCTGGCCCCACGAGCTCACAGCGCGAGGGGACTGGGCTAGATCGGTTTCATTTTCTAATGATTAATACGAGTTCTTGAAGGAGAAGGGCTGGGTTCACATTACCTACTGCAGGGCTTGGGGGCGGGTTGGAGGAAGCCATGTCTCTAGGAATCCTGACGTCTCGCCTGGCACCTTCCCGGCTGCTTTCCTGGGGACACAAAGAGAGGAGATCTAGTCAGAAGAGAAACCCCCATGTCTGTCTCGTCCTGGGAGTGGGGAATAAAGTATTAGAATTCCCTGTGCTTCACTAGCACCTTCCAGCTCACGGGGCTCGGCTCCTAATTAATTATGGCTTACCACGCCCTGTGGGTTACACCCTTTGATAGAAGGGGAAACAGGCCCCTGGAGATGAGCACCCTAATTTTCACAGGTGCTGAACCACTCAAGCCAGGAGTGACTTGTAAATGGTAGGGCCAGGTATAAGGTAGGACCCAGGGGCTGCCCTGACTCGGCGGTGGCAGAACCTGAAACAGAACCCAGGGGCCCCTCCTTTACCCACTAGACGACGCTGCCTCGCAGGCGCTTGGCGGCTACAGACGAGGCAGCGTTTCCTGCGGGAGAGCAGCGCCGGAGCCCAAAGCAGCAGGAGGGGTCAGGACACCAGCAGCACAGCTCCGGGATTGTAGCAAAACCTGATGGCAACAACGTCGCTGGTATCCAGTGGGGAAGGAGAGCCCAGATAAAGAAGCGTCCTGTGCCCTCACTTAGAGCTGATTAAATGCAAACACAGGCACTGGCACAATGCCCAACCAGGAAACATTTCCTTCCCTGCTAGGGAGAAATGCTATAACTCACGGGCTTTTCTTTTATTTATTTGTGCTTTGACTTGCCATTCGGCAGTTCCCAGCTGCCACGGGAAACGTGCTCCCTAACCTGCAGACATCCCTTTGTTATCAGACACCTCAAGATGACCCCCCAAACTGGAGCATAACGCACAGACGTCTTTCTGTCTCGGGTGTCTTTTACCCTGGGGGTTTCAGTCCCCAAAGCCTACAGGGGAAAAGTGCTATCAGCCGCCGTTTGCACAGGTGCAGCCAAGCCCGGTCTGCAGTGCGACTGGATCAAATAGCAGCCGTGCCTGTTTGCACAGTGGGTTTACTTTGGCCAGTCCCCAAACCCTCAGTTCCAAAGGGCAGGCGAGGGGCAGAGCCTGGCACCGAACAAGCCATAGGTTTGAAAGCAGAGCGGGCCCCAAGCCACTAAGTTTGGGTGGGATCCAAACTTCCCCCAAACTTGGAGGGAGCTTGGACACAGGGGGTTGGCTTGGCCTCTTAGGGTACGTCTATACTGCAATTAAACAGTCCCTTAGCCGGAGCCCCCCGAGCCTGAGTCTGCTGGCATGAGCCAGCCATGGGTTTGCAATTGCAGTGTAGGCGTACCCTTATAGAGATGGGGCCCGCCCCAGATCAAGAGTGAGACTTCCCCAGGGACTGTGCAACAGGCAAACAGACTAGGGAGAGAGGCCAACGCAAGCAGCTTGGATCCGCTTCTGGACTAAGCTGGGAGAGTCTCATTTCCCGCTGGAGGAGGGAACACCTGTCTAACCCGCTGGCATCCAGAGGCCGGCAGAGTCGAAAGGGCACCAGCCAGCTGCATCAGGTGCGTCCTTTCCAACTGGGCAGTATGTGCACAGCTATTGGAATAACAGACACGGAAGGAGCGCAGCCCTGCCTGGGATTAGCCAGGCAAGAGTCAACTGGCTCATTTCCTCTTGGACAGCGCTGTCCACCCAACTTCCCTTTTAACCCAGCTCTGTCCCGGCCGGAAAGTCTCGTTTGAACAGCGCAGATCCGTGTGTGGTGCCAAGGACGTGCTGGGGATCCGGCCTGGAACTGCTCTGCCAGGGAGGCCACCCCACCCTCCGGCAGCAGCTTGGTTAGAAAGCTCTGGGCACGATGCACTGGCAGGGCTGGGGGAAATGCTCAGGGCTAGGATGGCAGAGGCCAGGCCGCGGGAGCCTAGGAAGAAAGGCTGCCGGCTCCGAGCGCCAGGGAGAGGATCGCCAGCGGGGAATGCCGTGTCTGCAGAGCTCTCTGAGGAGGTGTGGGCAGGAAGAGCACGGAGAGGAGCTCATCACCGTGAAAAGGACCACCACTGGGACAGCAGGGGGGCTGCGGGGCAGGAATGAGCCAACTGTCAGGGATGTTTATCCTCCATGGTGCTGAGCCCTCCACCCCTACTGATCTCATCCCCGCACGCGACCGAGCCTCCTGCGCCCAGCTCTACGAGATTCATCCACAAGGCGCACAGCAAACCCCAGGCAGAGTCTTCGCTCGGCTGGCGGCGGAGTCTGTGTCTGCCCCCTGCATCGTGTCAGGGCCTCCCCGCGGCAACACGATGCATGGGGCACACACTGCGTGGGCCTCCGAGACCATCCCCGGCTGGCCGGTCCGAGCAGGTGAGAGCCTGTCCCTGGGAGGGGAGCGCACCTCACACGTGCCGCGGGCAAGCCGGCGGCTGCATCAGCCCTGTCAAAAGTGCCAGAGTCATCCACATTTTTTCTCTCTTCAAAGAAAATACAATCTTTTGGTTTTAATTCAGTGCTGGCGAAAGGTGTCAAACTAGCAGCCCTGGAGACCCTAGGCACCAGAGCGACACTTAGTGCCATCTGTGACATGGCACCTGTCCCTCAGCAGGCCTGGGCATCGCTGTGGGCAGCTTTGCAGAGGAGAGGGAGCATGGACACAGAGATTAAAACCAGTGCTTAATTTGTGCCAGGGCTTGCCAGGCGGAGCCCTGCCATCTGTGGGCCTGGCAGTTCAGAGCCCCGGCACCTCTGGGCCTGGCAGTTCAGAGCCCCGGCACCTCTGGGCCTGGCAGTTCAGAGCCCCGGCACCTCTGGGCCTGGCAGTTCATGGCCCCAGCAGTCTGGGCTTTCATTACATTATCTCAGGGCAGGAGGGCAGTGAGGACAGGGAAGCCGAGCTGAGCAGCGATGGGACTCATAGCAACACACACCAAGCTCTCTCCCGGTGACCTGTATTCACCCACCATCACCAACATCAGCCATTCCATTGACTTCAGTAGACTCTAAATCAGGCCCTTAGTTAAGACTAGTACTTTAAAGCATTAAATTAATTGGACACTGACGACTTGAAATCTAGTCAGTGTCAAGAAAAGTCTGACAGGAGTTTCGGGTAACACACCTGCCCCACAGGCCCCCCACCCACAGCCAATGTTTACAATTTTACAGTCACATTTTCCTGTTTTTAAAATGCTTTTCTCTCCTCCTTGCTGTTTGAAAGACCCACACAAGCAAATGTACCCAGGAAACAGTGGAACTGAGGATACACA